TTCTTATACCTGAATGCAAAGTCTCAGCCCGATCGGTTTACAATTGACAAAATTTCATACAAACTTTCATTCCCTATTTTATCCCCTTGAGGGTAGAATTGATCAAAATCCTTTCTTGATGCCTACGTCATAACATCTACCTGCATGCCAAATTTCAGCCCGATCCGTCCAGTGGTTTGGGCTGTGCGTTGATAGATCACTATGTCAGTCAGTCACCTTTAGTTTTATACAGTCAGGTCATAAGTATTCTCACACAGTAAAAACTTTTCTTTTAGAATGCTGGCCACAAAAAAGTTTCGAATTGTTCATGAAAATAAAAATGTATTTTAGAATTTTACTCATTTTTAAATATGGAGTGGACTCTTAAAAATGACCGTGTTGCAGTTATTGCGTTGCATCGTTGCGGTTATGCGCCAATTCAAATTTTTTACATACTGAAAAATTTGAATTGTATTAAAAGATTCGTTTATCCCATCAAACGATACAATGAAGACTCTACGAGTCATTTTCCATCCTCGCTCATGGTATGGTTGGGAGTTTCTTATTGGGGCTTAGCAGAGGTACATTTTTGTGAGAAAGGTGTAAAAACAGTTGTGTATCAAAATACAGTCCTGACGAAACTTGTGGAACCTGTTTCTCATACCACGTTCAATAACAGGCACTGGGTATTCCAACAAGATTCGGCGCCAGCTCATAGAGCGAAGAGCACACAAGACTGGCTGGCGGCGCGTGAAATCGCCTTCACTTCATCCGGCACGAAGACTGGCCCTCCTCCAGTCCAGATTTGACTCCGTTAGATTACAAGATATGGCAACACTTAGAGGAAAAGGCGTGCTCAAAGCCTCATCCCAATTTAGAGTCACTCAAGACATCCTTGATTAAGGCAGCCGCCGATATTGACATGGACCTGGTTCGTGCTGCGATAGACGACTGGCCGCGCAGATTGAAGGCCTGTATTCAAAATTACGGAGGTCATTTTGAATAAACTTTATTGTCATAACAATCTATGTTTTGTTAAGTTCATTTTGGTATATAAATGTTAACATAATAAATAAACTTGTTTTAATTATTTTATATCAAACATGTGACAGAATTTATGACCCGACTAGGTATATATAGATTTAGGTTCGTTAATAGCTATATTTGTTTCTAGTACTGTATTACAGCTATTAGCGACCACCTACAGATACAGAGACGTATGTTCCATCATCATCATCATCATCAACAGCCTATCCTAGTCCACTGCTGGACATAGGCCTCTCCAATTGCACGCCACTCAGATCGATTTTGGGCTACTCGCATCCAGCTCCTGCCAGCCACCTTGCGCAAATCGTCACTCCACCGTGCCTGAGGACGTCCACGTCCGCCTGACTACGTTTGCCTAGACGCGGTCTCCACTCCAGAACTCGTCTACCCCAACGGTTATCGGTTCTTCGGCAAATATGGCCAGCCCACTGCCACTTCAGCTTACTAATCCGGTGGGCTATGTCGATAACTCTAGTTCTCTGTCGGATTACCTCATTTCTGATGCGATCCTTCAGAGAAACGCCGAGCATAGCCCTTTCCATAGCGCGCTGAGCGACTTTGAACCTGTGGACCAGCCGTACCGTCAGTGTCCACGTCTCGGCTCCGTATGTCATCACAGGTAGGACGCACTGATTGAAGACTTTCGTTTTTAGGCACTGTGGGATCGACGATGTCAAGACTTGATTGACGTAGCTTCCCAAACGCTGCCCAACCCAGCCGAATTCTTCTATTCACCTCGTCCTCAAAGTTGTTTCTACCTAACTGCAATGTCTGCCCGAGGTATACATATTTTTGAACAACTTCGAGAACGGCACCGTGTATTGCAATCGGTTCCGGTAGAACATGTTCATTGAACATGACCTTGGTTTTATCCAAGTTCACCCGTAGGCCGATGCGTATGGAAGAGTCAGCTAGGTCATTCAGCATTTTTTGTAGGTCCTGCAGGGTTTCTGCCATGATGACGATGTCGTCTGCAAATCACAAGTGAGAGATGCGTTCGCCATTGATGTTGATGCCATGGCCTTTCCAGTTCAGCGTCTTGAACATATCCTCCATTGCATTAGTGAACAATTTCGGGGAAATAACGTCCCCTTGTCTCACTCCACGATGCAACGGTATGGGACTTGTTTGCTGATTCTGTACTTGGACAGACATGGTGGCGGCTTCGTAGAGACATCTAATCACTTGGATGTATCGCCAGTCGACTTGGCAACGCTGCAGGGACTCCAGGACAGACCAGATTTCAATCGAGTCAAAGGCCTTCTCATAGTCCACAAATGCTAGGCACAGAGGCTGATTGTACTCTTCAGTCTTCTGTATAATCTGCCGTACTGCGTGGATGTGGTCTATGGTGCCGTATCCGCTCCGAAACCCAGCCTGTTCCGGTGGTTGGAAGTCATCAAGTCTTCGCGCCAGACGGTTCGTGATCACTCTTGAGAACAGCTTATAGACGTGGCTTAGAAGGGATATGGGTCGATAGTTCTTGAGTAGGGTCTTGTCCCCCTTTTTAAAGAACAAGACGACCACACTCCTACTCCACATCTCCGGAGTTCTCCCTTCGAACAGGACAGTGTTAAAAAGCTTTTGGAGCTCCCTCAGTACGGGTTTACCTCCAGCTTTCAAGAGTTCTGTTGTAACACCATCCTCTCCAGGGGCTTTTCCATTTTTAAGCTGCCCAAGAGCAATCTCAATTTCGCCAATACTGACTTCTGGCAGGTCTTCGGTGAAGTGACGCGTTAATGTGGCTCTAGAATCCTCATTTCCGGGATCTGGTCGAGATGCATGTGATGCGTACAACTGGCCGTAGAAGTCTTCCACTTCCGAAAGGACTGCCGGCTTTGAAGCAACAACTTCCCCACTTGGTGTGGTCAACTTCGTCAGATGACTTCTTCCAAGAGATTGTACGAACACTTTGGACCCTCGATTCTGCTCGATCGCTCTCTCGATCGAGAGAGTATTGGAGCACCGGAGGTCATGTCGTACGTGCTTACTGATCTCTTGGTTTAGAGTCCGCTTTGCTGACGAAGTGACGGGTGGATTTTCACGTCGTTCCTTCATTAGCCCTAAAGTCTCTTCGGAAAGGTTTGACTTCCTACCCTTACGCTGCGTTGCACATAATCTCGTACCCTCTTCCCTGAGGATCCGAACCACATTTTCGAGGTTTTGGTTTACGTCTGATGTGGTTTCCACGGCAGCAAATCGGTTCTCCAGATTTGACTGGAAGGTTTCAGATCCTGTTATAGATTGGAGCAGAGTAGGTCGGAGCCTGGATTTCATCAAAAGGACGCGCTCGGCCTTGAAGTTGATATTCAGAGAACCCCGGACGAGTCGGTGATCACTACCTGTATTGAACCTGTTGATCACGGAGACGTCTCTGAATATATACCTCTTGTCCGTCATGATGAAATCGATCTCATTTTTAGTCATAGTGTCGGGGCTTTGCCACGTCCACTTCCTTTGGGGCTGTTTCTTAAAGAAAGAGTTCATCAAGAAGAGCCCTTCCCGTTCGAGGAAGTTGACGAGCATTTGCCCCCTATGATTTCTGCTTCCAAATCCATGGGATCCTACTACCGATTCGCTGCAATTCTGTACTCCCACTTTAGCGTTGAAGTCACCCATAACAACGTTGTAGTGGGTCTTAGTAGTGGAGTGGAGGGCCCTCGATATATCATCGAACATATCCTCCACTTCGTCGTCAGAGTGTGTCGAGGTCGGTGCGTACACTTGCACCACCTTGAGGCTATACCTCTCGGTGAGCTTTATAATGAGGTACACTACCCTGTTCGACACGCTGGACATTTCCACAACGTTATCGGCAAGGGACTTATTCACCAAAAACCCAACGCCACCTTGGGACTGTTGGTCTCCCCCACGGAAGTACATTAGGTGGCCCGATTCGAGCGTTATGGTGTCCTCCCCCTCTCTTCGGACTTCACTTAACCCTAAAATGTGCCACCTAATCTTCCCAAGTTCCACCTCGAGTTGCGCCAGATGCGAGTCAAGCCGAAGCGTGCGTCCGTTGTACGTTGCCAGGGTCAGTCTATTGTGGTGGCCTCCCGTAGCCCGGAGATTCTTGGCACCCCCTGCCCCGCCGTCACCGTGGTCGCCACCGTGCCCAGGAATAGCGGAGCTGCCGGGAACTGGGGGCCGTGGCTTGTGGTTTGTTTGCATTGAAGGTTTTGCCCATAATCGCCACGCTGGGCAGGCGGGTTGGCGATCGCAGAACGTAGGTTAATTCACTGATGACGCTGCTGCACGTCACCAGTGAGATTTCCCTCCCCTACGTCGTTGGATGGTTATACCGCCATCGGTCGGTTTGCCAGAGCCTCGTCTGTTGGTCAACAGGGTGCACCGCGTGAAGGTGAGGTTGGCTTGGGTTCTTGCAGGTGTATTTAGAACCCCTTACACCCCCAGTATGTTCCATAATACATATAAATCAATAAAAATTACAATCTTATCTTACCATTCATTCACAAAATCAAAAGTATATGTGTGTGTATGTATATGTGGGTGCGTGTGTGTCTGTATGTACATGTGTATATGTTTATGAGAGTGCACGACTGTACATAAGTGATCTGACAGTTTCTAAATAGTCCTATTGTTTTTGTTAGTTGCAAGACACACTTAACGTAATCAACTAGCAATTCTTGATGACGTTAGTTAATTAAAGGGTCAGATGTAAAATCCAAACAAATATAAATAAATAAATATATCTTTATTCAAATAAGGTCATACATTGCATAATAATACTAATAATAATATAAAGTACAAAATAATGGATGCCTGAACTAGGTTACAGTTAAAATTGTACCTGTATTTCAGGCTTTTATGATCTAAAATAATACATTAAATAATTAATAAATTAACAAATTAATTAAAACAGAACTTAAAGTAATCATTGTACAAATGTTGGTAAATGTAAATTATGGAGTTACGTTCATTTATTTACAAATAAGAAGTAATTCTTCGGTGTGCTCGTATGTCAGGCTGTGCAAATAATTAAATACTTCATTTCTACAGTTAAAATAGTTTAATGTATAATACTTAACACTCTATTTAACTTATTATATAAGAAAGGACTTAGGAAAGTAGAGAATGTATGTGAAAAGATGTATTTTGAATCATGTGTACAGATGCAGACTATATCTTTCCGTCTTTTGTTAGTGATATCAGAGCAAAAAGGTGAAATTGTGTGTTGTTTTAATATGGTGTGCATAATGAAAAGCTGGCGAACAGTTGACACATTACAGTATTTGTAAAGTTGATGCGTAGGATATAAGAAGGGAAGTGAATTGGCTACTTTTAAAATGGCTCTGAGCTCGCTCGAGAGGGATTAAAATAGTTTTGAGAGCTCCACCCCATGAAGTTATACAATATTGAATTACTGATTGGCATAAGGCCTGATATACCTGTTTAATTAGTTTTGGACCTGCAATGGTACGTAATTTTTTAAAAATATACATTAATTTACGGATCCTGACTACTAGATTTGCAATATGCTGTCTAAAAGATAATGTGTCTTTAATTAAGATACCTAGATATTTTATATGGGATGTGTTCCGTATTAAAGGGCAATCGCATATATTGACTGAAGGATATTGGCATTGGTGTGCGTATAAGTTAGGATTTGTAAACCCATGACAAGGTTGGCGCATAGAAAAATGAATATAATTGGTTTTGTCAGTATTCAGTGTTAGTAAATTGCAGCGAAGCCAGTTATTTACACCATTAAGACCAAGTTGAGCTACCTCATATAATTCCGACTTACTATTAGCGCTAAAAATCAAGGCCGTATCATCGGCGTAAGATATAATTTTACCACATTTTAAATTAAGGTTACATAAATCATTGATGTAAACGAGAAAAAGGGTAGGGCCGATTATACTTCCCTGGGGAATACCGTAGCAGGTCATTTTCTGGTAATCACTTTTAATATTTCCTATTTTAACGCATTGAGATCGATTGTCTAAATAATCTGCAAACAGTTTAAACTGCGTTCCTCTAATACCCAATGCTTCCAACTTTTTTAGAAGCTTCGGAATTGAAACGGTATCGAACGCTTTTGCTAAATCAAGAAAAACAGCTAAAGTATGCTTTCCTTTGCCTAATTCCTGAGTAATATAGTTAGGTTATGCACCGCATCTGCTGTTGACAACTTTGCCCGAAAACCAAATTGCGTAGGTGACAAATAGTTATTTTTTTCCAGGTAGTCAATAAGCCTTTTGTTAATATTTTTTTCTAATAGTTTTGATAAGGATGGAAGCACTGATATTGGTCTATAGTTATTTACTTGATCTTTACATCCAAATTTATAGTCGGGAGTAACTACTGCTTTTTTTAAACATTGTGGGAAAATACCCTGCGAAAAGCAGATTTTAAAAATGCGTGTTAACGGTGGTATTAAAATATGCTTAAAAGTTTTGAGGATTTTATTCCTAATGTTATCAAAGCCGACTGCACTGTCATCTTTCAAATTTGTAATTATTTGTAAAATTTCTTGTTGGTCGGTATCTAACATAACAAAACTATTCCTACTAGGGGTAGCGTTAAGTGACTGAGAAAATATATTTAGAGGTTGGTGACGTTCTGCAAGGTCTTTTCCCATATTAATAAAATAGTTATTTACATGATTGGCTGATATAAGCGGTGAAGGATGGGTTAATAGTAAACAATTCCAGGGTAGACACGTAAAATGAGAACTCCCACTGTTATTGCTTCATCATCATCAGTCTTTTAATGTCCCTACAGCTGGGGCACAGGCCTTCCCTACGGATGGAACAGGGACATTGAGCCATGACCCACCACGTGGGCTCAGTGCGGATTAGTGAGTGCCAACGCCTGCAGATGCAGCTGGGACCAACGGCTTAACTTGCCTTCCAAAGCACGGCGGAGCTCGAGGTAGTTATATTTTGGTCCCCCATCCAATGACCGATCACAGCGAAAGTAGCTTAGTTTCAACAATCACAGCCGAACGCGTTAACCACTTGCGTCATCGAGCTATTATTGCATAGGTCATTCAAATATAAATACAATACAATTGTTGTCGGAATAAAACAACCATAATACACGACGCAAAATGTAGCGAAATCGTAATCGATCGCGCTGTTTCAACTTATACCGGGTTCGCACGAGAAGATTTTAGTTAATGAACTGCTAAATTGTATGTGATTTAAACAGACTAGTAGTCCGTCTAAACAGACTTTCTATCAAATTGAGGCATTGAGTGCCTCTAATTAAAGAAAAGCAATGGAACGATAAAAGTTGATCAATTTAAATTCCCTATTGTGAACCCGATATAAGAATAACTCCATAACCAACAGTAAAAATAGAACCCAAACTACTCTCTTATAATTTCATAAAGAATACAAAGGATTTCAAGTACATACACAAAATAAAAAAAAATGCGATCACTTTGAAAAATAGATTGTTTTTTGTGTTACAGAAGACTTTTTGTAATTTCATTTTCTGATAAGATTCTAAAATTTAAAATTTGAATTAGAACGTAAAACAATAAAATAATTCAATTGTTTTTCCATATAAAAAGACATGCAATCTAAGCTGACACTCATTCAGAAATCTGACTGAGTCGGTATTATCGAATTTAAATATTTAAACGGAAAGTTGTGAATTAAAAAATGCCACGAGGATTATCAGCTGTTTTACGAGCCAGAATTTTAACTTTGAGGGAAGAAGGCTATTCTAGGAGAAAAATAGTACGCAGAGTTGCAATATCCTAATCCTGTGTAGTAACCACGTTGCAGAGGTACCACAGCATGGGTAATTTACCTGATGAACCCCGCTGCGGTCGCCCAACTATTTTGATAGCTGCGCAGAAGCACTACATCAGGTTGCTGGTAGCCCGCGACCCAACAATAAGCGCCATTAAATTAAAATCAGAAATACGGGCCGCCTCCGAACTTGAAGTTAGCACTCAGACCATTCGGAATTGCTTACACAAGGCTGGATTACGAGCACCTTTGAATTCACAGGAACGTCAGCGACGGAAATTACAGTGGGCTAGGCTAGGCTCCGGCAAAACGAAGAAGATGAAGAGGAAAACAAACTGCCTCTTCGTTGACGAATCGCGAATCAGTACTCATCCAGATAACCGACGTGTCCGTGTTTGGAGAAGGCCTGGAGACTCTGAAAGGCAAAGAACGGCCAAATCAGTGTCCTTTTGGGGTGGTATTATGATTGGGGCTAGTACGCCTTTAATCCCTTATCAAGGCTTCATGACGGCAGACAGATACAAAACCGTCGCTATTGATGGAATCGTCAGACCTTTCTGAGTAAACCATGGACACCAATTTGTACTGGTTGACGGTAAGGCGCCCGCACATCGAGCTCAACGAGTCAATGCTGCTCTCCGAGAATACGAAAACACAAGGTTAGACTGGCCTGCCGGCTCTCCTGACTTAAACCCAATAGAGCACGCGTGGGATGCTCTTCAGCGAGCTGTTTGAAACCGGCAGCCAAGCTGTCCAAGAATAGGACAGGTTACCACAAGAAATGCAGAAAAAATTGATCCTCAGCATGCCCAGGAGGATCTCCGCATGTGTTCGAGCCAGAGGAGGAGTTATTTTGTATTAGATAAACAACAATTTATTAATAAAAGGTTTTAAGAGCCCTTTCATATTTTTTGCAAAATATCGTAATTTTTGAGCGCTTCGTTTACCGTTCAGAAAAGATTTTGACAATTTCCAATATACCTAAGTAAACAGTAGATTCATTCTTCCTATTGTAAGTTAATGTAGAATATTTGCAAATACTATTTTCCTTTTTTTGTACTGATCGTTCCACTGCAGCTAGTTTACGGAAAAAACGATAATATGCACAACTTCCAACGCCTAGATCTCCCAATAATGTTCAATTAATTAGTTTTTTTTTTTTTTTTTTTATGCTAGATAGGCAATGCGTTTGACCACAATCTCACCTGATGGAAAGCGATGATGAGGCCTAGGATGGTACACGCCTGCCTAGAAGATGCCTGTTCACTCTGGCCTTGAAGATGTCCAGGTTATATTGGTCCGGGAAAACAGACCTCGGCAAGGAGTTCCACTCCCTAGCCGTTCGTATAATGAAGGCCGAAGCAAATCGCTTCGTGCGAATGGGAGGAACTTGGACAACATAAGGGTGGAAGCCCTCGCCGCGCCTGGTCGTCCGGTGGTGGAAAGGGGAAGGGGGGATCAAATTATGTAATACCTCCGCACACTCTCCGAAATGTAACCGATAAAACACCGAAAGGCAAGCTACACGTCTTCGGTGGTCAAGGCTCTGAAGATTAGCCTCAACGAGAGCGTCATTGCCTATGAGTCTCTTCGCACGGTGTTCCACCGAGTCCAGTGCATCCAGCTGATACCGAGCAGATCCGTCCCAAAGGTGACAACAGTACTCCAAGCAGGAGCGAACTTGGGCTCGGTAAAGGTTAAGGAGCTGCTCAGATGTAAAATATCGCCTGACCTTAGAAAGTATTCCAAGTTTTCTGGCAGCGGTTTTAGCAATGGACTCGATGTAGCGACCGAAATTGAGGCTGGATGAGATGTCCATACCCAAGAGCTCGAGATGGTCTTTAACCGGCACGGAGACATTTCGGAAAGTCGGAGTCAGATGGAATGGACTCCGTTTCGTCGAGAAGAGACAGGCCTGTGTTTTAGAGGGATTGAACCCAACCAAGTTGGCTTCACCCCAGAGGGAAACAGCTTCTAGGGTTGCATTCACTCCCTCCACCATCGCCACCCTTAATGATCGGACATCTGCATCAGACTTCACATCAGGCAGATATCTCCCCGAAACTGTGCTGTCGTCTGCATACCCAAAGATACCGGGAGTTAGGAGCAGATCATTGATGTGCAGCAAGAAAAGAGTTGCGGAGAGGACAGATCCCTGGGGGACACCGGCATTAATACCAAGCAGATCCGACGATGTGCCATTAATGACCACTCGTATCGATCTGCCCCCCAGAAAATCCGCAATCCAGTTGCAAAGTCCGACAGCGATTCCATATGATGGAAGCTTGCCAATGAGACTTGCATGCCAGACCCTGTCAAAAGCCTTAGAAATATCAAGAGAAACGGCGAGAGCTTCGCCGCGTTTCTCTATGGCTTCACTCCATAAGTGGGTAGCATACACAAGAAGATCCCCAGTAGATCGCCCACGGCGGAAACCGAATTGGCAGTCACTGAGGAGATCGTTATCTTCGAGGTAAGCGAGGAGACGGTTGTTCAATACACGCTCCATAATCTTACAGAGTATGAAGGTGATTGCAATAGGTCGATAGTTGGCAGGGTCGGCACGACTACCCTTTTTGGGCACTGGTTGGACATTGGCAAGCTTCCAGGTTTTCGGAACTTGGCCAATCTCAAGGGATAAGCGATATAGGCGAGTCAGAATAGGAGACAACTCAGGGGCACAATTCCGCAGGACAATAGCTGGAATGCCATCCGGCCCACTGGCTTTATTCACGTCTAGAGTGCTTAGCGCTTTGAGTACCTCTTTCTGAGGGATGCGAACTTCCAACATGGTAGAAGAACACTGAGGAAGCTAGCTGTGAGTTGTTCGCAAATATAGAGGCAAACAAGTCAGCCTTCTCTTTGGAGGTGTGAGCCAGCGATCCGTCAGGCTTAATTAAAGGCGGCAGCGACGACCGGCAAAAATTGGCTTCGACTGTTTTGGCTAGGGACCAGAAAGCTTTGCTTCCGGATGGAAAGGAGGCTAATTTGGCTCCTATACGGCCAATGTGATCGAAGCGGGCCTTGCGGATAACACCTTTACAGGACTTGGCGGCACTGTTAAAGGCCTTCTTCAGACTTCGAACATTTGGTGATTTGCGGGCTCGAGCATCCGCCCAGGAGCGATACGCAAAATGCTTAAGCGCCTCTGCTTTAGCACAGTCCGCGTCAAACCAAGGGCGGGCGCTAAACCGGCGCGGTACGTCAGAGTATGGAATAAAGTACTCCATAGCCTGACGCATCACGTCAGCAATGGCATCCGCGCACCAAGTCGGGTCGTCCGAAGAAAAGCAAGTGCGACGCCAAGGATAAGATGCAAAGAAATGCCGCATCTCATCCCAGTCTGCTGAACCATATCGCCAAACACGCCTAGTTCCGATAGGTTCCGGGTCGCTTGGAGAGTAGACTGATACGGACTTCACCAAACAGTGGTCGGAACTCCCTAAAGGAGACGAAATTACCACCTGGTAACGGTCCGGGTCTGTTGACAGCAGAAGGTCCAGGCAGTTTGGTGTGTGGCCATCAATATCGGGTACACGTGTAGCGCCCTTCACAAGCTGGGAGAGACCTAGCGACATAGCAAATGTGTGCGCTAATCTCCCGGCATGGTCGGTTTTCTGGAACGGGAACAACCACTCATGGTGGTGTGCGTTAAAGTCCTCCAGAACGACTAGCTGCGCACTTGGGTACCTTTGCTGGGCTGTTTCAGCGGAGGCGCTGAGGTACTGAAAAAACCTGGTTGTCTCCATGTTCTCTGTGTGCGACCGATAAACACTGGCATAGAGTATTTGCTCTATACCTGTGTTCACCAGCACCCATAATGTAGAGAAACTGGGATCCTCAAGGTTGCGGAGACGTTGGCAGCAGATGTCATCACGAGCATACACGCAGGTGCCAGCGCGCGATTTAAAATTGTGCTCCAGGATGTAACCTGGGTAATGCAAGTAAGCTGCGTCAGTCGGGCATCTTATTTGAGTCTCCGTGAGGAACAGCAGATGTGGTTTATCGGTCTCAAGGTGGTGATGGACACTATCGATATTTGAGTGCAATCCTCGGATGTTAGCAAGGTGCACTTTTAGTGCGAGGGAGTGCATCCGCTGTTTCGCCAGTTTCTTTCTTTTAACGTTCATATTTTTTTCATAAGAAGAGAGTGAACAGGCAGGAAGGGGACAGATGAGCGAGACTCTGTTAAGCTACTGCCAAGCGATGCAGTTATGACGCCACACAGACGAGTGACTGAGCTGGAGCGCGCGGGGACGCCCTAACCCCCCCAAAGGTGTCCATCGGGCCCTCGCATCCGGTCGCCAACCGGCACGATGGCGCACCCTGGGATTTTTCGCGAGTTGGCGGGGCAGCCTTTCGTAGGTGGCTTTCCTACTACTTGGGCCCCCTACTACCTGCGGTCGGCCAGCGGAGAACCGTGCTTAGGATCCCGCTACCCTCCGCGATCAGCCACCCAGCGCAGCAATCACGCAGCACCGAAGCCGGCAAGCTCTACATCGCAACTGCTCGGACCCCCCCCCCCCCCCAAAACGGCAACACCAGGCATCGAGCCGAAACACGATGGAAGTCGTTTGGCGGCTCGGCTTTGCCTAGAGGGTGGTTACCAGCCACGGTCGAAACCTACCACCGGTGATGTGCCGAGCATTTGGCGCTACCCAGGGGACACGTGTGGGTATCTAGAGCTAAAGCCCACGGACGCGCTCGGCTTTATCCCCCAACTCGGCTTTATCTCAAGTTCTTAAGAGATTACTTACAAATTAATTACTACGACATCGGAACTATGTTTTTGTTGTAACATAATGTATTAGAATTTTGATTTTCTATTTCATTAATTATCAAAAAAAAAAAACATCTAACCTCCGTGAGTTTTTCTAAAAAATAATGCAGGTTTACCTCGTATTTTGATATTGAATTAAATAGAACTACTATCAAAAACTTTCATAAAACTAAACTAACATCATTGAACTACTGAAATATGTATATATTTTTATAATTAGTTCATTAATAATTATTTTATAAGACTCGAAACATCACCCTTAAAATGCAATATATACTAGTGCAAATCTACCTACGCGCTGATCAGTAAGGCAGCGGTGCATTTTTGTAAAAGGGCTCTTAAGAAGTGTGGTTATCTTTTTATTTCTATCAAAGTTCTTAAAGAATTATTAATTTTTTTATACTAAAAAATAAAATTAGTTTTATTTTGTTTATTTCATAAAGTGTATTTTCAAAAATAAAAAAAATTATAACGTTAACATTTTCTCTTGATTAAGTTAATTTTGAAAATATATCAGCTTTTGCAAGTTTTTTTGATGTGTGTACAGACCAATACTCGTGCATAGTTTTTTCAAGTATCGAAACATACATACGATTAGCGACATTTTTTTAAGGGCATTACTAGGGTCAGAAAAATTCAGTGATGGGCGTGGCTTGCGTTGTTAAGGGGGAGTGATACTCTTTCTCCGTCTCTCGAATAAATCTCTACGTAGACTTAAACAAGCATAGACAGGGCAAAAAAATATTGTTTAAAAATATACCTATATGATTTGAATTGGATAAACTATTATAAATTATCGTGATTAAAAGGTTCCATAACCGAAGTCTGACACCGAAATAACCACATTCATTTAGTCGATTTATTATACAGTAATGTTGTAATTTTTTGGAACGATATTTCTTTTTGGATGGCATGGTTTTAGCGGATGGGGGCTAGGCCATCAACCAAGAAAATAATTCGTTAGTATGGCACAAATTACAGAACTGTCTAACAATATTGTGAGAAATACTCAGAGCTAAGCAGTATAGTACAGCTTTCATGTCGTCGTGTCTGGGAAATCGAAAACCATATGTTGAAACGTAAATCTAGGATCCCTTTAAGAAAGTCAAGCTTCTCTCAAAACAACTGAAACCTAATAGCTGGGAAATGAAATGAAATAAGACCATTTTACCAATCATGATTTGGACGCAATATCAAAATTAAAATAGGGCGCAAATATTGTGAGGAATTATACAAAAAAACCATAATCATGCTCCATCGCATAATATGTTGATTAATTTCACGCGACAACGTAAATTAAGAAACTCCCATATTAGTATCTGAAGTCACAGCTGCTATTGCTGCGCTTGGGCCTAATCAATAATGTGGTTAACAGGTAGATTAAAATTTTAGCACAAAACATGAAAAAAGACTGTATAGCTACTGCTACATAGCTAGAGATGAACGAAGAATCTCATAAAATGAATAAGTACAAAAAAGGTAAAAAATAACTTATACAATAGGATAAAGCGTCAGTGCGAATCGATTGTTATACATGGCCATAACAATCGAATGGATGATACTATACATTCAAAAACGGATATTGTGGAATATAAACAACGTGGACCTTGGGTCCGAACGGCACCAACGCGCGGTGGAGACTGATTATGAACGCAGGCAGCTCTCGGTTTTGTTATAAAATTTGGTGAAAAATACCTCAAACAAATGAATATAGAAAAAGTAACTAATACAAATTGTTAAATACATTATTACAATAAAATTATTTTAGTATTAAATTCATATAAAACTCAATAACTATTGAACGACAAACAAAACAAAAACAAAAAAATACAAAGATTATTAACAAAAAAGTTTGTATATCGGTCTCTTTACTTCGATTGTTATTTTAAATTTAAGCTTAGCAGTTCAATATTCCTAAAATTTTACTACATTATAATTTATACTTAGATACAATTCAAAAGTTTTGTCGTCACACAAACCATCGGTTATAGCGCATCTTCTAAGATTAGATAGACCGCACAAAAAATTGTTTGCTGTTAATGCATAGTCAGTGTGCTCACTTTCAAATTCAACTTTTAAGGTGCTCGTCTGTCATATTTTATATTGCCCTACATGTAACATCACTATTCTTATAACCGAAATATACTTATCTGTTGTGTTGTGTTGTGACGCAATCGGTTTCATACATTTAGTACGGTTAGATCTATACTTGTGTGTCGCCATGTGTCGAGACCGTTCTCACTCTAACCACACTTAAATAAACATTTTAATCAACACAATATATTTATTATGATCCTAAGAATAAACATATATTTCTTATTTGGGAAATAAATGACTATATTCTCCAACAATCTTGATTAAACTAAGGCTGTTTTCCATATTAAACGATATAATAGCCTAAGTGACTGTAGCTCAACACATTCAAGTTAATATTCTTATTTCCTTTATTAAAGTAAAAAGTCAAGTTCAATGTAATTTCAATTTGGTTTGTGTGAAATAATTCACTTGAATAGATACTTAGTATCGATAATCTGTTTTTTTTTTAAATCGTTTTCATATTCCTCTAATCACAAAAATAAAATTGGACTATTATAATAGTATTTCAAAATGAATAAATAGACGAAATCTCATTTGGTTAAATCGGGACCACGATTCTTCTCTGTCACAAAATATTTGTAAATATTTTTAGGGGACTAAAACAGCTAAATTGCGTATGATTTTTTTACCTAGTTAGTTAGCTCAAATAGTATAGTTGTATTTATTTTTTCTGAATTAGGTAAAAAATGATTGATGCGCCGAAAATTTATTTTCTAATTTTTATTCCTAAATAATTTTTAACATCGCAATTACCTACGATTTTGTTTATTATAACGCATTTTTACATATACCAATATAATGACGAATGATATTTTTTTTTAAATTCTACTTTTGATACGGAATCCTAAATATACGGAGCACATGGGCGGGTTTTTTTTTATTATTCCTCCTCATTTTAAAGACTAGAAAATGAAGAAGCTACAGCTGATGAAGAACAAATAATTAAATCGATCGGCTAATATTTTTTATCTCTTAATATAAATAATCGTTATCGCATACTTTATTACAAAATTTCACCAATATTGATTATGCAGTCTTAATTCAAACTTTGTATCAAGAGGTCTTGATATAGGTATTATATTCAAAAATAATTAAATAAGTAAGAAATCTCTGTTTAAATTTGATTGTAATATTTTAATGTGTGCAGTGGATAACAATTTTATTGTTTTATGAATAATGGAAAAACCAAGTGAAAATTTTTTCCACAAGGAAAGAAAAAAACCAAATATAGTTTCTCGAATATTTTTTTGGTGGATTTGTCCAGTACTAGTAACTGGAAACCGAAGAGATGTCATTGAGGATGATCTTATCGTGCCTAGTAAAATCTACAATTCAAAACAACAAGGCGACAAATTAGAAAAGTAAGTATCGACTTTGCCAATTCTTACAGTACCTTAGCAGTACTGCATTACAGTGTTATGTTAGAGAAACTGCGGTTGCTTCAATAATTTTATATTTTAGGTAATTTTTAAAGTTAGAATAAAGTGACAAAACTTTTTTTTTATTGCTAAATTCATTAAAAAATTTTGAGCTTTTACTCATTTTTGCGAATAATCCAAAAAGTCATATCGTCTCTTTGAATTTAATTATTTCGTTGATTTTCAGGTGATTCCAATGACGTTTACAATAAAGACAAGTTATACGCTAACATTATTGCATTTTAAAATGGCACAAATAATCCGCGCCCCGACTTCCCTTGGCAACTGCCACCAATAGAATAGTAGTAGCACTTAAGCGGGCTCTTATACTCTCATGCATAAAGCATATTACATCTGGCTATTTAGCGTCCATGTCTCAATGGTGTCAGCAACTGTCAAAATAAGTAATCACTAAAGTTTTTACATTATTTTTTTTAAACTGTACTTACGAATGAAATGACACGTTTTTCTTGTCTCTATGGCACCCGTGTAATTTTTGTAGGTACTATCTGAAAATACACATAGGGCTTTTCGTCTGGAAAACGTGAAATATTTAGTAAATATTATTTACATGTTGTAGCGTAGTGTAGCTGCGGCAATAGAGCGTGCCCGACCCGACTGAATGCAAGTCGGGCAATTGCCTGACTTTCATATTGCTCAAATGGAAGTGTATGACGTATCTATAACTTTAAAACATCATAGGGTGTTTTTTTTTTGTGCAAATGTATTTACTTTACGTTTGAGTAGTAAAGTAGGATTGGAATTATTTTATAATATAATATTCATTTGTATCTTTTTAAATAGGTCTTGGTTAGCGGAGGCAGAGTTAGCTGAAAGACAAAACAGAAAGCCTTCATTATGGGTTGCGTTACGGAATGCTTACTGGCTGGAGTATATGACTGGTGCCATATACGTGTCCACTATAACCGCTGCCAGGTAAATATTTTCTTTAGGTCGTCTATGTATGATTGATTAATTTAATACTTTATTCAATATTGTAATCTCATATTCGCTCCGGCACCTGAACGGCTGAACCAACTATAGTGCAGTTCAGCTTAAGTTATAATTATAAAAACGTGACTCTTGCTAGAATTGATTTATTGTTGATGCTGTTTCGATAACTGTGTCACTGTTACCTGTCTATTTCCTTTACCTCGGGAATTGTTTAGGAAATAGTTTATATCCAAATTAAAGTATTATTAATAATTTCAGTGAGATCATTCGTTAATGGTGCACATGTTTGTATGATGATAACTAGGATTTATTTCATTGATGTAGGATAGTCCAACCCATGCTGTTCGGGCAGCTGCTGTCATTCTGGACTGTGGATTCACAGATGACCTCCTTCGACGCGGGCATGTACGCCTTCGCCATGCTGGGTTTGAACTTCGTCACCATGATGTGCCAGCATCATAACAGCCTTTTCGTCATGAGTTTCAGTTTGAAAATCAAAGTTGCCTGCTCCGCATTGCTTTACAGAAAGGTAAGCTAATCTGTATAAAACAATTTTTCAATTTAATATAATCCGTTATATGTGTAATATGATATGTGATACCCTATGCATTCAGGTATAAGTTCCGTAAGTTTGATTAATATGTTCTTAGTTCATGAGAGATATTGATATTGTTAGATTGATCAATATGTATAGTAAATATTCATCTCTCTATTGAACTGACTTTAAATTGAGCCAGGACCTAAGATGATGACGAGGTCACGGCATGAAGGCACGTTCAGTTCTTGCGTAGGTCGTCTGATACGATCAATATTGATACTACTTAAACGATTATCAATAAAGTATTTATTATCTTTTAACAAAATTAGGTTAGTACGATGTAGAATAATTGTTTAAAATAAAATCTCACTTGAGTTCGACAGCTCCAATTTTTAAGATTAGTTGAACACTAGCGGCCCGCCCTCTCTTCGCTTCGGTGTAGACTACAGTTTTTGTTCTCAGGCTTGTATTATACACAATGACATTCATCTATGATTCTTCTTATACCTGCATACAAAGTCTCAGCCCGATCGGTTTAAAATTGATAAAGTTTCATACCCTATTTTATCCCCTTGATCAAAATCCTTTCTAAGCGTAGGCCTACGTCATAAAATCTACCTGCATGCCAAACTTAAGCCCGATCCGTGCAGTGGTTTGGGCTGTGCGTTGATAGATCACTATGTCAGTCAGTCACCTTTGAGTTTTATATATACGAGTATAGATTACCTTATTCTACTAATTTAAGTAGCCAGTTATAGTTATTTCACAATTGTGACATATTCAAATTCACCAAATGAATAGTGAGTTTGCGTGTTACAGAATCGAGTATTTGGCCTCACATCCGTTGATGAGCAAGTGGCGACAGTTGACCTTACTGACATATGTGAAAAGTTTTCCAGATTACACGCTAAATAATAATTAAACAAAACTACAAAGATTTATTTCTTTAAAGACGATTTCAATTCTCTCGTATGCACATATGGACGGTTGGTCCCGTCCAGTACATTTTGACATAACCTTTTCAGCTTCTACGCCTCAACCAAGTGTCCGTAAGCGAAGTGGCAGGTGGCAAGCTCGTCAACTTGCTGTCCAATGACGTGGCAAGATTTGACTTCGCATTTATGTTTATGCATTACTTGTGGATCATTCCCATACAAGTGGCCGTCGTATTGTATTTCTTGTGGGGTGTGGGGGGCTATGCACCATTCGTCGGACTCTTTGGTGTCACCATCATGATTTTACCAATCCAAGGTAAGTATTTTGATACATGGTGAGAATTTAATTAGATTTTTTTTAGAAAGAAAATAGTGTCGTGTACACACAGTGTAGGGTTCCGTAGTTGCCTGTCGTTACCACAATATATTTGAGCATGAGTCTTTATTTTGTAATACTTAACTCAAACTGAAAATGCGTCTTAAACTCATTTTTTTATACGAATAATAACCTACAGCCTGCTGCAAGGTTATGTCAGACTCATACTGACTAAAACACACCTGTAGTTCATCCTTATGGCCAGAAGGGCCTTACAAGTTTCATCTGAAGGATGATGCAATATTACCGCTGATCTTTTCAACTTTTTATAAAAACACAACGTTAGAGCGACTCGGAAGCCGTTGTGGAACTAATGAGATTTTATTGTGGATTTTAAATATTTTTTAGATGTTGTTGCTATGCAAGGTTTTACACTACAATAACTTCATCTATGACACTATTGTTTTCTTCTAAGGAATTTTCAATACGTAAGAAAATTTCTTTAACCAAAGTTGAACGACTATTACTCTTAAATTAACCAATCTACCTTAACCGCTATAGTTTCCTTCAAAGTTCAAGAAAAGCACTATTAACATGAATTTTCAAGGTTTTTAAATCCAATAGTTTAGCTTTTAAAGGGGGGGGGGGGGGGCTCTAAAAAATTAAAGTTTGGCACTTTAAAGTTCAATATTTCGCAAACGCATCCCTAAATCGAAAAATACTCTTTGAACCCCCTAAGTTATTTTAAAGGGCCTATTCAACGATATTTCACACGATGGGGTTACATGTTACCTAATTTTTTTTTTTTAATTCTACTATTTTGTCTGCGTGATCGATATACATATCTCCACAAAATTACATCTCTCTAGTGGTAATAGTCTGCAAGCAAAGCCGGAGACTGACAGACGGACATGACGAAACTATAAGGGTGCCTTGTCAGGACTACGGAACCCAAAAAAAACACCTATTTCCCATGAGGTTTAATGTATATTAATATCCTCTCTAATGGTATAGTTAATGATTTCTTAAGTAAATCACAAAAATGGGTGCGTGTACTTATGTAGGCGCGTGAGAAGTTATCCTTCTTTGGCATCGTTTAAAATTAGTTTTTTATTGCATGCAAATAATTAATTACAATAAATTAATAAAAAGTCTTGAAAAAGGACACAGTCAATAAAGTTCAGTTTTAATTTGAAAAAATAAATAAATAATCAAAATATTCAATTAAAATCGCTACTGAATATAATTTATTAGAACATAATTATGTGATTTGCACTTGTATGAAACTCAAACACGTATTCCGAATATACAAACTAGAAACATGTGGATAAATATTATAAATATGAATACCTATAACTGTTACTTTATTACAAAAAATAAAAATGTGGTTTTTGGTTCTACTACACCAATGGTCAAGAGATGGCGCTGTAGTCTCCTGAATCGCGCTTTGGTTCCCTTGTTCCAGATTAATAAATACTTTTGATATTATAAATATGAAGACCTATAACTGTTACTTTATTACAAAAAATAAAGATGTGGTTTTTGGTTCTACTACACCAATGGTCACGAGATGGCGCTGTAGTCTCCTGAATCGCGCTTTGGTTCCGTTGTTCCAGATTAATAAATACTTTTGATAGGCCTTCACAATGCAGTCGTTAGCACCCACTAAATAGAGATTCTATTTCTATTTTGTTGGTAGATTTTCTTAATGTGCGGTAAACACAAAAGTAACGCATGAAGTTGGTCGCTAAAGCGACCAACGCGTTAAAATTTTGTGTTACAGTGATGCGCGCGCATCTTAAAATTTCACTCTCATAATTTTTTCATAACGCGCCTACAGAAGTATAACTTCAAAAAAAAAATCTTTCAACGACTTTGTATATAATTATGGTGATATGCTAAGAAATTCTTTAGCGTACTGTACAGTCAGATTCTTTAATTTTGGACCCATTTCCTTGAAGTATGGTTTGAACGTACGCAGTGAAATAAGGTCGATATATCACTACAGCTTTGCAGCGTCGAGTATAAATCTTAAAATTTAATGATATTTCTGAAAACCTTTTAAGCTTAATATTTATATATATATATATATAATAGTCGGAATGAACCCTTAGCAGGGGTTTGTTGTGTTTTGTGTTTTTTTTTGCATAAGAATTTGGATATAATGTAATCAAATCACTGTTTTAAATTAAAATCCGTATTCGAATTTTTACAGAAATTGTTAATTTCTTTAAGTTAATAATTATCAATATTAACGGTGGGCAAGGGAAATATTAAGTCGATCGACAGTTGCCTCTCTTGACTACCTATTCACCGTGAATTTTGAGTTACCTGAAAAATGTTACCTAAAACTTTACTAGCTAATTCAGACAACGATTTAGGTTATATCTCTGAAAAAAAAATCTTACTTAATTTTTTCGAATTGTACAATTATTAAACCTTAACAATTTTATTTCATTGTTATTAATTAATTTAAATAAAAGTAATAAACTAACGGATAATAATTCCATTATAGGAATGTTATTTACACATTTTGTAAACGATATAAATGAATCTTTTTGTATAGGGTGTAATACGTTAACTGTTTATAACTATGTATTAATAATAAGTGTATTTTATTTACCTTTACTATTTTTAAGTTTCTCTGGTAACCCAAAATTAATTTTCATAGCTTCGTTTTCGGTCTAAATAATTATTAAGCTTATATGTCTGTTTTCTGTCCGATATGACTGAATATGACTAGTCAGTCATCATCAGTCAAATTGATTTTCATCAAAATTAGATATTAAAATAGCAGTCGCTATTTTGATGAAAATCAATTTGACATATCAAACAATTTAAACAACACAAGTTAACTTTAATGGGTCTCAATTTGGTCGATGGATTTCTGCATCGTCACCCTAACTAGATATTAATGACGATGATCGTATCGCCACACCGTTATCAGCAATAGGATCCACATTTTACAATCTACAAGTAATGCTTATCTCACCTTGCCGGCGTTGAAAACATTTTGTTCAAACACAATTTAACAAATTTATTTGCATTGAGCGACTAATATAGTGTGATCAAAGTACCTACTCATACATACATGTATTGCGTTTCAACAATCTAGTATATTGTAATGGTGATGTCAAACAGAAGCCGTGAAAGCCGGCGGATGTGTGTGAAAATATTTAGTTTTGAGGGCTGAAATGAATGTGCCTGTATGTAAAGTCATTCTGATGATAATGCCAATGTATTCCAATGACGAAACGTGGGTAGGTCATAATTCACGTTATTCCGTAGTAATTCAAATATATAAAAAATTCTACTTTGTCATTGGTTGAAAGAGTTCTTGCATTTGTTACTTGCATTTTTGGGTTGAGTTGTTCCATAATAAACTAAGTTAAGGGAGACGGTTCAAATTTGTATGGAGGGTGGTAGTGCGTCTCCGGCAGACTCCAAATTTTTATGACATGTAGTGCACATAATTATAAATCGTTTGACAAAAAACTAGAATTTATTTTATCCCCGTTTTTATTATAAATAATATTTATAACTTATAATGACATACTTATTGATTGATTAGCAAATGGCAAGTTTATTTATCTACTGTTTGTTGCCAAAGCATCAAATATATTTTGCACCAAATTAGCCCAACAAATGCATTTACAGAGGTTGTATACATTGTTTGAAAGTTAAAATTACGGGCCATACATCGCAGCGTGCGTTAAAAAAAATTACCGCACGCTCCCATGCATGGCGCCGTGCGTATCCTTTACGGGGTTTTTTTATTCGGTCGAACCTCCTTGGAAACTCTTCTAATCTAAACCTTTGTTTCACTTTGATACTAAAAAGAGAAGAGGTGATAGATGTAATTCTAACTTTCATTGCACGCCATTTTGTGATTATAAAAAGTTTGTTTCATTACTTAAAGGTGCTGTTTTATCGCAAATGTTGAAAAACGTTGTATGACATCCGTGCGGAATTGGTATTTACAAACTCGTGACTAAGGTAAGCCCTCGATGTCTACTCGTTTGTAATAACCAACTTACCGCACTAACATAATAAATAACTATTCTCAATAGGTAACTAAAGCAGTGATAATAATTCTGTTCATCTCCCATAATAATATTAGGTATTTTGGGGTTCCGCAGGGGTGCTCGCTTAAAAAAATATTGCATTTTATGTAAACTTGACTTGAATGTTTCAAAATGTAACGTATGTTCTTATGCACTCAAACCTAATCCATTTATATTTGATTATAAGCCACTTAATTCAAAAGTCTCAAGAGTGAACTGCGTTAGTTATCTCGGTGTAAGCTTTGACTCAAATTACTTTTTAACACACATGTTGATAATATCATCTATAAAGCATCTAGGGAACTTGATTTTGTTTTACGCATCTCCTCTGGCTTTAACTCAATAAAAACAACTCAACTTAAAATCCTATACTGTGCGTACGTGCGCTGTCATCTGGAGTATGCATCACAATATGGAACCCGACATATAACGTTTACATTACCCGTATAGAAAGGATACAAAAAAGATTCCTGCACTATTTATAGTTCAGAACGCAAACTTACATTGCTGATTATAAAAAGCGCTGTCAACGATTTCACATTCTTCAATTACGCGAAAGAAGATACATTGCGGAGATAGTCTATCTTTTGAATATTGCCAACGGCTCTGTTGACTTTCCGGTTATTAGCACGTAAAGGCCTTAAGGTTCCATACATAGTAGGCAGGAGGGCTTGCAATATGCAATATCCCTTAGGCGACAACAAATTATAGACGAAATTCATACTTTGCGAGAGCAAGTAGGTGTTTCAATGAAATTATTAAATGTTGCGATATTGACTTGTATACAATGAACTTGTAAGTCAGGCCAAGCGGTTACTTACACAAAATTTCTTCAATGATGTGGATATGTCTTAGTTGTGTGTGTATGTTGTAAATTGTGTATAAGTCAAATCCGCCCACTCTTTAAATCTATGCTGTTTTATGCTATCAGTGGAACCTTTTAAATGGCCTTCAGTATTATATTTGTTTCATAAACATGTATTAGCTGTAAGTTTCCCGAAAATACATAAATAAAATAAAATAATTTTGAGGGTATTTTATTTCAAGAAGAATAAATCATAAATTGCTACAATCATTTCATCACGATTTCACGAATATCATGCATGGTTGTGTTCGAGTTGACTTTGAAAGCTGCCACAGACTAAAAATTTGACGTTACCTACGACTGGGTGACCAGTTACAATTTTAAACACGATTTAAAATTAATCGGGTATAAATAAATAAACATAATTATCTGTTCCTGTTATTACATAAAACAAGCTTTCAAATGATATAAATGTTGCATCGCCGCCGGAAAATGACTACCAATTTTGAACCGTCTCCTTTTCGCTTATTGGTAAATAACACAATTGAAAGTACCATAGCGTATATAGGTATAATAAGAAAAAAAAACGGCCAAGTGCGAGTCGGTCTCGCGCACGAAGCATATCATAGGTATAACAAATCGCGAAAAGAAAAATCAGTTTTTTGTTTTCGTCACAATTTACAAAGAACATTATGAATGAGCGTTTTCAGTATTTGTTGTTTAAAAAAAGCATAATATGTGTCATCATATACTAAAATTTCACATTTCTAAATAGTTTAGATTTTATTATAGATCCCGTAACAAAATGATCTAAAAAGAAAAACTTTGAGGCTCACCTCTATCCCCTTTTTAAGTATAATGATGAAAAATAATTCAATTTAATTTTCAACTAAATACGGCATTGGGAAAGCATTAGTCAAAATTTCAGTTCTGTATCTCATTCCATTTACGATCTAGAGACCTGAGACATACGGACAGATGCAAAGACAGACAGGCAACAGAGTGACAGCAAAAGGATTCCACTTTTACACTTTGGGTAAGGAACTAAAAATCAATCGTAATAAGTTATTTATGATTTTCTTACAGCTTGTCTCACGCAACTAACCGCTTCTGTCAGGCGCAAAGTAGCCATGAGGACCGACAAACGTATTAAATTAATGAACGAAATCATTAACGGAATTCAGGTTAGTTATCTTCGGATTACAATCTATCCTATTTACGCATATTTCCCATATTGGGAAATTAGATTGGGAAATACGACAGATATTGAAAACTCCATAAATAATTAAGGTAGTTTCTGTTTGTAGTGCAATCCTTATGACATGAGTAATAAAACATAATATTTATTAAAATGTTACATTAAAACATTTATTACAGCTGCTTGTTGCTATCATTATTTCAGCTTCTTTTTTCGTAACTGTATTTTTTACACTTTCACTAGACTTTTAACTTTGCCTATATCGACTATAGGGCCGAGGGATTCCTATAAGAAAAAACATTTCAGAAGTACTTGTGGTACGGTTTTTGTTTTTTCATCCCCAGGAACCAAACATTATTCCTTTTTCCGGTGATATAATCACTATGAGTGACATTGTTATGAATCCATAGGTGGTGCAAATTATTTAAATGCTTAGTATTTTATTCAAACGACATCTGACGGCGCACCGAGACGACGGCGTCTTAATCTCTTATTTTAATAAGATTTTAAGAGGATGTTTTCTTTGCAGGTCATTAAAATGTACGCCTGGGAGAAACCCTTTCAATTAGTAGTGAGAGCGCTGCGGGCGCACGAAATGAGTGCCCTGAGGAAGGCCATCTTTATACGGAGCGTTTTCCTCGGTTTCATGCTGTTCACGGAGCGCTCGATTATGTTCTTTACGGTGTTGACTCTCACGCTTTCTGGGAGCATGATATCTGCTACTACGGTATGTTACGCCTATAACTGTTACTAAATATTATCTATATCGTTATTGTTAAAGCTAATATGAATTGACTAATGGGAAGTTTTCGTAATTGTACCGTGGACTTTTGTATATTTGTGTCTAACATTATTTTGAATACTGAGATCCACACAAAATAACAACAATAAATTGGTATCCATAAAGTTCACTGTACAAGATTTTTTTTATTCTTGCTTACATTCTAATTGAATATTTGTATGTATATATTTTTGAAATTTTCATCGGACAGGACAACATCTGTTGCATCTGCTAGTTTAAAATAAATTTTGTTCCAGGTTTATCCAATCCAGCAATACCTTAGCACTATTCTTATTAACTTAACACTGATTTTACCACTTGCCATAGCAACACTATCCGAGATGAAAGTTTCTTTGGAAAGAATACAAACCTTCCTGGAATTAGGTTAGTATTTGATTGCCATTTTTCAACATTTGAAATCTGAGAAATATTGTGCAATAAAAATATGTCATGTGTACCCATCCTAATTTGATGCAGATGAAAGAGAAGCTCTCAGTCATAAAAATGGTACAAGCAATGGAGCTCTTAACAGAACTCTTTTTGGTGGCAAAGAAATTATCTTAGACCCTATGATCACTGCAAAAAAATATGCTGCAACCGGCGTTTTGGAACGGGATACCGGTAAGAAGTTCTAGTATAATTGAATTTAGCTTATAAGGTTACTAGGTCAAATCATCAAAAGGTTAATACTAATTCAAATTTGAAAAATCAAAACATATAGCATAAGTATACATAGCTGTCTACGAATTCCTGCAAACGAATCTCTGCTTAGTAGTATTTATTACGCGCCGCCTTATATTATGATTTCTTTTCTTTGTGATTTCACAAAACTACGTTCACTGCTTAATCACGGTATTAACCGTGATAAGGCATATTTTGCGGTAAATTCTTGAATTATAAAAGAACTAAGTAAATAGAGAAATTCCCCTTCATACAGAAGTCAATAAGTCAGCAAAACCTAGTGAGTTTGCTATAGAACTATCTGGAGTAACTGCTTCTTGGAAGGACGTAACTGCTGAGGAAGCAACCTTGAAAAACTTGTCGATTCGTGTGCGCCCTGGCAAGCTATGTGCTATCATCGGGCCCGTTGGGTCAGGAAAGGTAATAACAGTAATATAAAATTTTGAAGATAAGACCATTGAGGCAACCTATCACAATAATTTTCTTTTATCACCATATGATAGTATGTATGTATATAATATGTATTCAGAATGATATGACCTAGGTTTTTATTGCAAAGTCATCGATTTATTTTATCATGATTAAAACGCAAACAGCTCATCAAATAGAAAATACCCAATCCTATCCAATCTTTACAAAATGATAATAAATATATGACGAAGATTTATTTTGTTGCTTTTTGTCCGCTGTTTCGCTCGAATTAAAATCGGAGATAACGTAGTTCCCTCGATAGAACTTCTTTGTAAATAATATCCTGTAATTTACACTAATTTAGTACCAATAATCTTGTTTCTCCTTTATATTAGCGGATTTGTTTATGTTATTTTAACTATCTGCGACAATCTGCGTGCTAAATTCCAAAGCTATCAGTTCAATGGGTCGAGTGTCGATAGACCACTCAGATTAATAATATCCCTTAGGTTAATAAATCTAAGCTCAGTGAGTAATGGTTGCCTTATAAATACATAATATTATTTAAAAATTATGCCGTTATGTTATTTTTTAATAATTGGTAGTGTTGATGATGATTCAGAATAAACTTTTATAACTTTCTTCTATTATAACAGACATCACTGCTGCAACTCCTCTTAAATGAGTTGCTGCCGCAGTCAGGTTCAATGACCATCAATGGGAAGGTGTCATACTCTTGTCAGGAGTCATGGATGTTCCCAGGGACAGTAAGAGATAATATTCTATTTGGAACACCTTACGATGCAACAAAGTACAAAGAGGTAAGACTAATATTAACGTTCCTGTATAAAATAATTTTAATGCTAAAACCTCTTGGAATGAAAAACCTAAAATATTGGGTCGTGCCGCCGTCTCGCTGTTACTACAAAATTTTGCTAATAGATAAATGTGCCCAAATAACATTAGTGATTCAAAAGTCTCGCATTTAAATAAATATTTCGCAATGAGTAAGAAGGTTGCCAGAAAATTTCGATGAGTTCAGTATTGGCAATGCGCGAATGATTCCATTGGTGTCCCAAGCGTCTGTTGTCTGGTGGCTATAAGTGTATGCTTATTTATTATTCTTTTTAAATAATAAAAGATCACATTAATTATAAATAAAATATTCTTGTTAATTTGTTTCAGGTATGCCGCGTATGTTGTCTCGTACCCGACTTTAAGCAGTTCCCATACGGAGATTTGTCTTTGGTGGGTGAAAGGGGAGTCACTCTCTCTGGCGGACAGAGGGCTCGCATCAATCTTGCTCGTGCAGTCTACAGAGATGTTAGTTCATTGCTTTTAATTTTAGATTAAATTAAAAAAAACTAAGACAGAATCTAAGCTTGATTTAATTTAAACTTTTAATTTATTTCGTTTTATGGTTCCAAATGTTTAGTATTTTCCTACATTGTAGAGTAATAAAATTTAGAAAAAGGTCGTGTTTATTTATTTAGAACTTTGTATAGCAAAGTACACTTCGCATTCGCCAGACAAGCGAAGTTCGCTGATTCGTTTCCAGCCTGAGTGGAAGTGAAACTCGGGCAGTTTCATTTTTTTTGTTAAAATTGATATTACATTTTAATTAATTATAACTTTCTCGTGGTTTAGGCTGATATCTATCTTCTCGACGACCCGTTATCTGCAGTTGATGCCAATGTGGGCCGATTACTATTCGAAGGCTGCATACGAGGCTACCTCCGTGAGAAAACCTGCCTACTGGTCACACATCAAATCCATTATCTCAATGATTCAAATTGGATTGTGATTTTGAAAGATGTAAGTATCCACGAAGTATTTATTTTAGACTTGTGGCTGCCGCCCGCTACTTAAACCGCTTTACTTTGGTTTTTTGAGAATCTCAGAGGAACTTCAAAATTTTCTAGGATAAAAAGTGTTCTATGTCTTAATCCTAATTTCATCCAAATCCGTTCAGTAGTTTTTGCGCAATTGAGTAACACACACACACAAACTTTCACATTTATAATATTAGTAGGAATCTTAGAGCATAAAGGTAGGATATTAGTCGGATCTAAAAAGATGTTTCTTTTTTAAACGAATAGATAACGATTATCCTTTTTGTGTAGGGAGCTGTAGAAAACATGGGCACCTACGATGATTTAGTGAAATCTGGAAAAGACTTTTCGTTACTGTTGAAGGAATTACAGGAGGGCGATGATACTGGGAAAGAAGGAAACGTATGTATTGATCAGAATATTTTATCTTTTTGAGCACGTGCGACTCTTAACTGTATGAGTACAAAATAAGAGGTATATAAGTTGAGTGGATATTATTTTAATATGACAATCAATTTATTCAATAGGTATATTTAATGCACCCGATTAGATCTTCTTTGAGATCTGAGTTTTATTATTTCAAAAGGAGTAACGATTTACTTAACTTCTTACTAGAATGAAAAAAGGCCATCTATGCATCGTGGTATATCTGTAAGAAGCGAGGAAAATCCAGAGGATGAAATAGAACAAGTACTGGAAGCAGAAGAGAGGGCGAAGGGTAACCTCAAGTGGTCAGTGGTGTCGCAGTATCTTTCGTTGGTTAAATCGTACCCAATACTCATGCTCGCTGTGTTGACGCTACTCATGACACAAGCAGCTGCCACTTTCACTGACTATTGGCTCAGTGCATTGTAAGATCTACTTATAGTCTTGAATTACTTGCTTTACGCTGCTTTTTGAGATATCTTAGTCTATCCCTATTCAAATGATATGCTTTTGGCTAAATGTACCTATGTTTGATTAGATTAAACATATTTAATGTCTTCTTAGTACCAACGCTGTTGACGCATATGTTCAAACGGTGCCTGAAGATGAAATACCAGGTAAATAAGTCCACATGACATGACATTAATTTGTCTCTCTAAACTACAAAATGTTAATATTTTGTCAACACATTCTTTCAAATTCTAGATCCAGGCCTTGGCACTAGTTTGGGTTCGTTGACTACGGGTCAATATCTATACATCTACGGTAGTGTGATCTTGGGCATTATCGTGTTCTCTCAGCTGCGGATACTAACTTTTGTGATTGCTACAATGCGTGCCTCGCAAAACATCCATGACCTCATATTTCACAACCTTATCCAGGCGTTAAAGAGATTCTTCGATACAAGTCCTTCCGGTAACTTTTAATTTAAATAAGATACCTTCTCTAAAATACTATCTCTTCGTAGTTATTTACTTTATAACTTGCAGTTTAATGCATGCATTAACTTTAATATAATAGTATAATTGTTTCCTTCAAATAGGTCGTGCACTAAACAGATTTTCAAAAGATCTTGGTGCTGTGGATGAGCTCCTCCCAAGAAGTTTACTTGAGACCCTGCAAATGTATTTGGCCATGTCCAGCGTGTTGGTTCTAAACGCTATTGCTTTACCCTGGACACTTATACCAACGGCATTTCTTGTGGTCTTATTTGTTTTGCTACTAAGGTGGTACCTACAAGCTGCTCAGGCTGTAAAACGGTTGGAGGGAACTAGTAAGTGCAAAAATTCATCAAAACTATTGCAATTCACAAATTAAAATTTTTTTTGACTTATAGTATTGAGACGATCATTCCTTCCTTGAGATAGTTTAACTCCTAACTTCTGTGCAAATAGCGAAAACCGTCAACTTAAGGGTGCTTGTCCACGTTGCAAGTAACTTGTGCGTGTTGAGGTACTTGCTCAGGTTATATGGATCGTGAAAACACCGTGCAAAGACATGTTCGGGTCGAATGACTCGGTTTAAATAATTGTTTTTCTGTTAGGTGAATAATTTTGTTCTAACGGGACCAATAATGAGTATATTAGATTAGTAGAACGAATGTAAAAAAAATAACAAACGATTTGATAAGAACTTTTATTCGTCGAGATAATGCGATTCATTCAACTCCTAAAGCTTGCCGCCCGCGTGAATAGCATGCACATAGCTCTCGACTACGAGCAAATAACTTGTGCGTACTGCTTATGCAAGTAGCCCTTGTCTTTACTTGCTCCAGTCATTGGCACCATGTACAAGAACAAGCTAGTAACTTGTACAAGTATCTGGTGCACAATACTCACTCACGTTTTGGGAAGTGTTGTAGACGATGGGTTGTCTACCACCTTTCACATCATATTTGGGAACAACATCTAGGCCCACGCTATATAAATTTTGAGATAGCTTAAGTGTGCTATGTATGAATACGATTCAAAGTAAATTATACATAAAGACTAGATGTTTTTATGGGAATTGTCATAAATATTGACATACATTTGAATTTAAATTATAATGATAAATTCTTGTTATAAAATGAATGATATTTACAATGAGAATACTGTAATATGACCTGTATGATATGTGTATGATGTATTATGTTTTAAAATGTTAGAATTTTTTGCATGCTATTAATATTGCTAAATAGGTTTAAGATTCTTAGCTTTTAACATATGCTTTATATGCAAACACCTTTTGTCAACCCTATTTAATTCAAATAAAGAGTATTCTATTCTTATCAACAGCCAAAAGCCCTGTATTCGGCATGATTAATTCAACCATATCTGGACTGTCGACTATCAGGAGTTCGAATGCAGAACATAGATTACAAAAACAATTCGATCAAGCGCAGGTATATTAAATACTACTATAATAATTAATGATAATGCCTTCACATTTTAACTTGTTTTACATAAATTTTCAGAATCTGCATTCAAGTGCCTTCTACACTTTCCTCGGTGGTTCTTCAGCATTTGGCTTGTATTTAGATGCACTATGTTTGGTATATCTTGGCCTAGTTATGACTATATTCATAGTATTTGAATTTGGTAAGTTTTTTTTCTAAAACCTTTTTTACTTAGAATTATTTTAAGTGTGTATATTTATAAATGTTATTTCTCTCAAGATGGTGTGATCCCTGTGGGAAGCGCTGGGCTGGCAGTCAGTCAGTCGATGGTGTTGACAATGTTATTACAAATGGCGGCACGATTCACAGCTGACTTTCTAGCGCAGATGACCTCCGTCGAGAGAACCCTTGAATACTCAAAATTGCCTAAGGAACAATATATGGATGAAGGACGTAAGTACTTAAATTTTATTTTAAAGCCGATATTAAGCAACTGACATCTTGGTTATCAATCTTACTACTGAAATCAGTTTCTCATCTTCTAAACAATGAAATTAAAATATCGTTGTTCGTAAGCCATTGCCGTTAGATTGTAGGTATTAATATGCATGTATTTCCGTTTTGATACAGCTACTGTGCCACCATCTACCTGGCCCGCCACCGGACAAATCAAATTCGTAAACGTATTTATGAAATACGGCACAGAGGATCCCTACGTGCTAACGAATTTGAATGTTGAAATCCAAAGCGGATGGAAGGTATAGAAAATACTAAGAATTACTTCGAGAAAATTGAAAATCGGATTCTATTGTTTAATATTCATTAACTTAAATCACAGGTTGGTGTTGTGGGAAGAACCGGTGCCGGAAAGTCTTCATTGATATCTGCCCTATTCAGGCTAACAGACATCGAAGGCAGTATAAAAATAGATGGAATCGATACATTCGGAATTGCTAAATCGGTATGTACCTACAAGTTTAATATCAATGAATCTGTTTAACATTCTTATCAATACCTAATTACTTTATAGATAAATGTGTGAGTAATTTTATAAGTTTTTGGGGGAACAATACAATTATTTACGTGTTTATTATTTATTACCTAAAGTTATTATGGTTAATAAAATTCAGTTTTTTGCTTCAGTTATTGCGATCCAAGATATCAATAATACCACAGGAGCCGGTATTATTTTCGGCATCTATCCGGTACAACTTGGATCCATTCGACAAGTACAGTGACGATGATATATGGCGAGCCCTTGAGCAGGTGTGGCACGCTAAATTATGATTTTTGTTTGGTATAACATGTAATCACTCTTTATAGATTTATTTATGTCAGGTAAATGATTAATTTTTATATTAAATTTCTAGTAATTTGGCATAGGTAAGTTTGTAATATGAATGTAATGAAATATTACTGAACACTACGTACAAGCTGTACACGGAGCTGGAGCGTCAGTTCGTTCGTTCTCTACCATACAGATGATGCCAAATAACTTTATTTTGAAGTAGTGTTGTATTCATACAGTGCGTAATCTTGCCAAAAATCCATGCAACAGGCATGAGCTTACTGTTATAATATCATTGAAATATTAATGAACAATATATTAAACGGACCATCTCGTTATTTTAGATTCTCAGAACTTTAGACTGGCAATATGAAGACTAATACATGTACAGCACATAATATCTTATCTCTGAAACCGCCACACTAGCTACATATCTACGCAACTGTATTCTACTACATTTAATAGTATTAAAATCTGTAGGACTCGGTAGGCGGTCCCAGTTAAAGAACTGATTAAAAATATACTTTTAAGATATAACAAAAATCGTTTTGAACTATAGGTAGAACTAAAGGAGGCAGTTCCAGCACTGGACTACATGGTAACAGAGGGAGGCAGCAATTTCTCTATGGGGCAGAGACAACTGTTGTGCTTAGCTCGGGCTGTGCTACGCTCCAATAAAATTTTAATCATGGATGAAGCTACAGCTAATGTAGACCCTCAGTAAGTATAAGTCCTCTATAATGTGATTATTCTTTAGTATAGTAGTTAATGTAGTTGTAAAATAAAAACTTGTAAATTCTAATGGCACTAATGGATGGTTACATTCTTTAAATTTTTCACAGTAGGATCGCAAAAAGTTAGGGCTTAATTTGTGATGGCATACCTCGTGCAGCCAATATTCAACTCTCCAGTGCCCGATAAAAGTTAACGGCTATAATGACACGTGAAAATATTATCTAGATGGAAAATGTGCCGCAGGTGCGGAAAACTGAATCATGTCAAATTTATTATTGCAGAACCGATGCCCTCATACAGAAGACTATTCGTCGTGAGTTCGCTGCGTGTACTGTGATCACCATCGCCCATCGCCTCATCACCATAATGGACTCGGACCGTGTACTGGTGATGGACCAGGGTCAAGCCGTCGAGTTCGATTGGCCTTATGTATTGCTTTCAAAACCTGATAGCCACTTGAATTTCCTAGTAAAAGAAACAAATGATAGTATGAGAAAAGTTCTCAATGATATTGCGAAAACTAAGTTTATCGAGGATAATCCACAGTGAACTGATTAGAGGCTGTGTATTTTTTAATACTCAAACTGCTGATAAGTTATCAAAGATATTTTTTTTAAGGAAACTGTAAATTAAAATACATGGAGCTGTATAGATTTTTAATGCCTGTCGGGCATAACAAATTGTCTTAATATTAGTAAAATATTAAAAAATTCTTGATAAATGTCCATACAGCCTATTAATTCAAATTTGACGTAAACTTGCTGGTCTGACCGAATATTCGATTATAAGACCTAACAACCAGGTCAGACAGCAAATGTTATAAGCCCGAAAACATAATACAGAACAGCACTACGTTACTTTTTGACTTTGTCGCACTATTTTGTTTCACCTTGTTAAAAATCAAGACATCAAATCAAATATCTTGTTTAAGGGTCCTTTCTCTTGTGTTCCGTCTGTTCTTATTTATTTTACGAGTGTAAGGGCACAGTAACTTTTCCGCTCGTATTCTCGTATTAAAGGGCTCTGGAGAAGTACCGCAATAAGTAACACTACTTTGTAATATTTTCATCTTTCGGTGAGGAACGTTATAAGCGTGCATTGCTCGTGGTACAGTTGGGATAGTTCGGTTGATTGGACTACTGGTATTTTTTTTACAGTAGTACAGTTAACCGGACTAGTGGCAATTTTGCTTAACAATTGTACAGTAGACCGAACAGGCGAAAATTTTTGTATTCCATAGCACAGCCGAGTGGACCATCGTACCACGGTTAATTTATTATTGCGATATTACAGTTAACCGGACTAAGGTAAGGCCCCCCTTGCACCCATTTTGCTAAATCACGATTTAACTTAAACTTAATTAAGATTGACAAGAATGTCAAATGAATATTGATGTTTTAATATGGGTTCAATCTAGTTTTAGTTAATCAAGATTTATGTAATGTAACCGTTTCTTTTTGTTTTTTCGATCCTTAGCACCTAAACACGTGACATGCAGTGATTTCGATCTAAAGCCTTCCTGCTTTATTACAAGCTTATAATTAATTAACTTGTATTTTTCGTATGTAGCTTAAAATTTTGTAAATCATATTTCGACCACTGCTTGTTATTTGATTCAGCTGACATATGGTATGCTTATGTAAGTCTGGTGACAATGCAATAATATGGTACCATGGAATATGGCCATAGGAATTTTGTAATGAAACTTTTAATTCTATTATTGATTATTCTTTCCCTGCATTGGGTTTCCGATTAAGTCAATTTTATTGTTTTCATGTTTACTTAAGTAAGATATTTAAAATCGTAATTATTATGTTTTTATTATAATAAATAAGAATATTTTTTTCGGTGGTACAGCAGAAAAAACATATTTATTCCGTGGTTCATTTACCAGGACACACGAGAATGTATTTTTTTCGTGGTACAGATAACTGTACCTGTCCCTATAGCGTGAGCACCATAATTTACATTATATCTCGTTTTTTATCACCTCTTACTGTCAAATTCCATAGTAATTTGACAATAAAGCGTGATAAAATCGCGATATGTATCATATCGCGGTGCTAATGCTAGGGGGCAGGGATGGTATTTATTTTACCAAAGTCCGGTTAACTGTACTACTCTAAAAAAAATAACCATGATCCAGACAGCCGGACTATTCGAACTGTACCATGAGCAGACCCCTCTTTTCCAGTGGGCACTTTGGGCAAGTGCCCAGGGCCCCGCGATCGATAGGAGCCCACCTCAGATCAAATACAAAGTCCCTAGTTCCTGTTAGATCACCAAACGGGGGTCATAGGAGCCTCATTATCCTAATATGCCCAGGGCCTCCAATAGGACAAAGACGGCACTGACCATGGGTAATGCACGGTTATAAGGGCTCTATTGGATAAGCAGTATTTCACAAAGTTGGCACTGCTAACCTATAAAGGGCCGCTAATGATGCAATAGAAAATTGTAGGGTGATAAAGCGGCTCAGGAGACTTGCAGATGGCTTGTGTTTTTCTTCTAATGTTTTAAAAATTTAAACAAGTTTAAGGAAATAGTAAATTCTAAAAGTGGGCGGTAGATAAAATAATTTTGAAAACCTCTGGATAGAGGGATGAGGAATCGGGTTCAGCTTGGTAGAGAGAAAGTGGTTGGTACAGCCCGAACATTTCCCCTCAGCCGGACTCTACATTTAACATCAAGTGGCGTGAAGCAATTTCATAACCCTTCTACGAAAAACAATATTTTTAATCTCCCCTTTTTAATGCAAATGTGTCGTCATTTGCACAAAAAGAAAGTGACTGCCCTTAATATTGTGCAATAATAATGATAGTAGTGTAGTATAGCTAATTGTTGTATTTAATTTTGATAAAATAAGATTAGGTTCAAACGATTAAAAGATATAAGTACCTACTAAGTATGTATAGAATAATCAACATCAATTTTGTAATATTTGTAATAAAGCACACAGTAGAAAAGTTGATTGCTGTTTTATTCTTCCGGTCCATAAAAAACCGTCTAGTGTAAGTCAAACTCGCAATTCAGAACCATTACAAAACGATTGGTAAGGTTAAGTGAAAGTACGTCAAATCACATTTTTGTAAAGCGACTAATAGGCTAGTTGACCCTTTTTGGAAAAAGGTTTTAAATGGTTAATAAATGTTCTATTAGACCGAAAAAAATGTATTGTATTTTTTTTAAACCTAGAAAGCTACAAATCTTTAATTTTAAAATAGACTTTTCATGGACATACAAAAACGCTGTCGGTCATTTTAGTCTATAGATTATCTATGCTATGACGTGAACTGTGCATAGTGTTTTATAGAACCAAAAATATTTACACCTTAAGGTTTTTGCATAAATCAATTAATTAAACCCTAATAAAGGCAAGAGTTTAATTCCCAGATCACTATTTTAAGTAAAAAAAAAGATATGAAGTAGCAAAGTTTTTGAAATTTGCGCATGAAAAAATTAACAATTTAATTTCCTCAAAAGACGGTTCCATATCTGTCCATGAGATATTTGCCAATTGCTAAGGAATTATTGATGGCATAATTTTGTAATTTTATTTTATTTATAAATGTCCTAGTTTCCAAGAAATATAGTTTTCTTAAATTTCCATTTTTAATTTTTTTCTCCAAAAATCGGCAAAAGTGGAACCTGGATTTAGTACAGAAAGGTTCTATAAGTCAAGTTCTATCACCCATAAAAAATGAAGTTTCACTTTTGCGGTTTTAAGAAGTTATGACAGAATTTAGATAAAGGTCAACTTTCATGATCTAGGGTTGTCACAAAGGTCAACTATGAGTTAAATGAAAATGGTTTTTTTTTTTGTTATTAATACCGTCAATCAATTGAATAAATTATATTATATTATAATTGAATAAGTGTTGTACTTATAGACGAATACAATATACTTACATATACTACCTACCTAATGTAGATGTGATAATGTAGGAATACTTTATGTTTTAATTTTGACGACCACATTTTAATTTTGCCTTACACGCTAAATGGCAACGAAAAAATAAACTATGTTGTTTGAAAAAATTTAACACACATCCTATACTATAAACGAGCAATTATTGTATGTACCTATATAAATATATTGGTATGTAATTGGTTTCTCGGAAACGGATATAACGATTGTGATGAAATTTTGGATTTAGAAATTCATTCACATTTAAAATCAATCTAGGATAGTGTCATCACCTGCCGGCACCTTCTTTATGCAACACCTCTACTTTAACTTTTATACAAATAAATCATCTTCGTTTAATAATTCTAGGTTGCTTTCATTTGCGACGTTCGAAAAATCTTCATCTTCAGCATCTTCCTCTGCTTCGAATAACGGCAATCGATCTGCATCAATTGGTTGTAAGAGCTCGCAAGCAGCTGAAGGCAAGGGAAATCGCATAGAATATTTTCGACGTTGGCTGATATTTGCCATAGAAATAAACGGGTCTGATGATTCTAGGGCACGGTGAAAGAGGTCCGTCATTGTGGTTCTCCTGTTCATTTTTCGGCAATGATGCTCTCTGTCTGAACGCTAGAATTTATTTCGGGACTCAGCTGCTTGTTCAGATAGCATACCGATGGGCAGTGCACTGGACGCAATAATTTCTACACCGTGCATGAGGATTTTATGAACTGTTACTGTCATCGGGTGCCAACTATAAAAACGGACATATTTTTCAACCCTAGATCATGAAAGTTGACCTTTATCTAAATTCTGTCATAACTTCTTAAAACCGCAAAAGTGAAACTTCATTTTTTTATGGGTGATAGAACTTGGCTTATAGAACCTTTCTGTACTAAATCCAGGTTCCACTTATGCCGATTTTTGGAGAAAAAATTTAATAATCGAAATTTAAAAAAACTCTTGGAAACTAGGACACTTATAAATAAAATAAAATTACAAAATTATGCCATCAATAATTCCTTAGCAAGTGGCAAATATCTCATGGACAGATATGGAACCGTCTTTTGAGGAAATTAAATTGTTAATATTTTCATGCGCAAATTTCAAAAACTTTTCTACTTCATATCTTTTTTTTACTTAAAATAGTGATTTGGGAATTGAACTCTTGCCTTTATTAGGGTTTAAATAATTGATTTATGCAAAAACCTTAAGGTGTAAATATTTTTGGTTCTATAAAACACTCGGTGTCAACCCTAGCATAAAAATTTAAAAATTAATATCTTCTAAACGCCGCAAAAGTGACACGTGGCTTATTTATGTATGATAGACCACATCCGTAGGTTTATTTCTGTCTAAGTTCTAAGTTCCACTTTTACGTTTTTAGGGAGAAAAAACAATAAATACAAAATACAAAAAAAAATGCTGCTCCCAAACCAATGCATTTTTTTAAGCTAAAGAAACGCGTTTATACGCCTCTGATTATGCCCGATTGACACATACTTATTAAAAAAATATATTGTTAATATTCACTTTATAAAAAAATATTCTAGATTTCATAGGTCGAAGGTCACGATAAGTTCATGATTTTTTTTCTCAAAAAGTATTTGAGTTAGACTTCTGTAAATTGAACTCATGCCTTTTTTAGGTTATAAATAATCTATTTATGTAAGAACCTGAACACGTAAATTTTTTTGGTTCCATAAAACACTGTGCTGTGGTAAACAAAAACTCGTAAACACGTAGAAAATTACTTTTAACTGAGTTTATAATAAAAAAAACATGATTTTAAAATTAAATTTCTACAGCAATCTTCTTCTTTTATGAAGTGAAATCGATATATTAAGGTTCCTTAGACTAAATACTTTAAGAAATAAACATTTATTTAATACAATTCGACAGGAGTAAACTAGCCTGTTCTTTTTTGAGACAAGTAAATTTTTGTTATGCTAAGCTTCAATAGACATTATACAAACAGAAATAAATATATGGTAATGATATGTAATACCATGCTGCGACTCTGTCGCATGATGTCGCGTAGGTTTTGCTTTTGTTGTGTCTGCGAGTCGGCGTCACGCCTTAAACATTATAAACTCTCCGATTCTACTACAAACTTATTTTTTTCATGAATATGCTCTTCATGATCGATGATCATCTGATCATGAAGATTTGACCGTCATCGTGGCAAATGGCACAAAATCGTAGAATCTAATTAGTCTGTGCACAAAATCTAAATCTTTGCCCGTTCGCCACTATTCAAGTTCTTTTGCCATTATGAAATCCTAAAGTTTAAAAACACATTAAAAATGGATAAAAAATAATTTTATAAAACAAGTTTTAGAAGAAGGTGAATAATGGGTTGTTGTGACGGACCGGAACCCTGTTGTGACAGTTCAATATTCAGCAATTCACACGTCTTGTACATTAGTGCGATGCTGATAATGATTATCGTTTACCTCTCTTGGTCCTTGTACCGATGCCGCCTGTGCAACAACTAGTGAAATAAATAAAAAACAGTAAGCACCCATCTATATTTCATAATACTCTTATTCACCCTTTAACTCACCCTTCACCCTCGAGCCTCGACTGTAGGTGGTTTGTACCACAAAAAAGTTAGGTATTGTTTTTAATCATACCGTAGGCAAACTTTGTGTGGCATTTTCTTAAATTCGAGTTAAGCGCCTGTAACTATTTTTTTGTGATAAGGCTGCGAATATTAGGTATTAACACTTTGCTATCATATAGCTCTGTGAGCACATGATTGTTTTTAAAATTACTGATAGCCAGGCAATGAGTCACTATTCTTCTGTAATCAAAAGAGATTTAACTAATTACTTATTGTGTTTCTTGTTTACGTAGCATTAGTTTTCAAAAGATTATTTTGTTTTCTTACAAAAGGAAAGAAGGAAAAATTTAAGCATTTCAGTATGTAAGTAAAATTTATCGTCAGGCTACGTCCTTATAGTGTTGGGGCACATGCCTTCCCTATAGATAAAATCGGGAGAATGGGTCATGAGTAACCACGCAGGAGCTAACGATTACAGATACAACCGGCATCAACGGGTCAACGGTTAAGGGCCGGTGTTTCTACCGGTCTGTCCTGCCGATAGAAGCACGGTATTCCACTATGTTTCCGTGGTCCTACCACGCTAGGGCGATTAATATGGTATCGATAAATATCTGTACTAAAAAAAAGGTAAATTTAAAAAATCAAAAACCCGACTGCTTAGTTATACTTCAAATAAAAAAGAAAAAAACAAGTCCAGTAGTCTATAATTCTGTTAATAAGGAACAAAGCTACTTTAACAGTCGGGACCCACTGTTGAAAAATATTATGTATTCTTGAATATCTAATGGGTCCCGACTGTTAAAGTAGCTTTGTTCCTTATTTACAGAATTATAGACTACTGGACTTGTTTTTTTCTTTTCAGTTTTTATTTGAAGTATAACTAAGCAGTCGGGTTTTTTGATGCTGTGTACATGGACATGACGAAGGCGTTTGACCGTGTAGATCACAAGTTACTACTTTACAAGCTAGAAAAATGTGGAATTCGTGGAAACTGTCTTAAACTTATAAAATCATACTTAGAAGACCGAGATCAATATACTGAATTAACACAAATATGTGTCGCTACCAGGGAAGAAAAGAAATATATATCAAAAAACAAAGTTGTTAAATATGGCGTACCTCAAGGCAGCGTACTAGGGCCATTATTGTTTTTAGTTTATATTAATGACATCATAAACTGTACTAGTCATCCTATGATATTATTTGCTGACGATAGTACCATTTTTATTGAAAGAAATGAAAACATTGACTATAGTAATGACATATCTGGTGCTGTGACAAACGTAATAAACTGGTTAAACAATAACAATCTTATAATTAATTTAAAGAAGACTAACATAATGCATTTTTCTCAAAGAAAACCTACTCTTATCTCTGACATTGAAATTAAAGGAGTAAATGTCCATAGAACAGACACTGCTCGATTCTTGGGGATTCATATTGACAGCAATATGACCTGGGAATCTCATTCCATAGATGTATGTAAAAAAT